TCCAGGAGGAAAACCAGGGCTGCCCATCCTGCTGCTTGCACCCACCTGCCTTCTCCCCTCAGGAACCCACTGTCCTGCCGTAACAGCAGCGTCCTGCTTCCCTGGAGAATCCGAGGAGGGCTTTGGGAAGGGACTGAACTGTCCTGTCCTCACCTGGATTTTCACATGGAGGAGCTGCAGCCCAGCCCCCTGTGTCTGTTCCCAGCTGGCTTGAGGATGTTGCCCTAAATACAGGCAGTGGGGTCAGGATGGGGCTCACCAACCCCTCCGAGGTGCCCTCAGAGTGCCACCCCAGCCCCAGTGAGGCTGGCCAGGCAGGAGGTGGCTGGTTTGTGTCCCCAGAGGGGCCCCCCGTGCTGGGGACAACTCCCAGCCTCTCCCCAGCCCAAGGGGCCGTGCTGGGGTTGGTGCTGGTGGCAGGGGGGCTCTGGGGGGCACAGTGATGCATTCCAGCTGAAACTTGTAAGGCAGAGGTATTTTAAGTATATTGGCTTAAAGAAAATGGTTGTGAGCTTTGCTGGGGCAGATTGACAATTAATTTCTTTTTTTTTTTCCTTTTTTTTTTTTTTTTTTTTTGTGGGGCCATAAAAATTCCATTTCTGCTGTGGAAAGTTTTAACCCCTTCCTTACCCTGGTGCTTGTTTCTAGGGGTATTAATGGGGAATTATTTTAGCTAATGGCTCCCCAGTGAACTGTTAATAGATTTTGGGGAAATGTGTGTGTTCTTTGTGCTGGGCTTTTTATCTGGACCTTGTTCACAGTGACCTGTGTATGGCTGTGACCTTCCTGCCTCCCTGCTCCTGTGTGTTGGGCAGCGTAAATACAGATCTGTGCTGTGGCAGAGAGGAGGAAAATGACTGAGCATGTGTCTGATAGTCCAAAAGTGGAATAAAAGTGAATGGAAAGATGTTGAGGGAGGCTATAACTGAGCTCCATGGCCAGTGGAGTGTGAGGCTGCCCTGTGACACAGGGGGTGCAGGGGGGAAGGACATGGAAATGGGGACTTCTGAATATCCTGCTTCATTTCCAGGTTGCCCAGATGTGCATTCAAAGTCCCTGTCACATCTGGGGAGTGCAGTGATTCTTCATCTGCGTGGTCTTCCCTATGGGCACCTCTTAAATGTGTTGTGAGAAGCTCTTCCTTGCAGCCATGCATTTAGGGGGTGTTTGACCTGCTGAGAGGAGGTTTGGTGGCTTTGGAAAAGCCAAATGTGAATCAGAGACATTTATTTCATGTGTTTCATGATCTGCCCATGTTTTCCATGCTGCTTTTAAGTGCAACATCAAGCAGTGGGACTGTGCAGCGTTTTGTTTTGGAAAAAAGCATCTTTCTTTTCTCTTCTAAAGCACTTCTTTGAACTTTACTGGCATAAAACACTGTCAAATCACAAATAGTCTCAAACCTCAAGTTATTTTCTTTACCTCCACACTCTGCAGGGAGCGACAGCAGCAGCAGTGCTGCGAACGCCGGGAGGATTTATAATGTTTGCTCTCTGCATTTATTCCCAGACCCAGCTTACTTTTGCCTGAGCCACGCAGGAGCCTTTTCCCTTTAAATTCTGGGTTTGATTCTCCTATCTTATTTCTTTATCTCTAATTGTTTGAATTCACTTTGGGATGTGCTGCCGCGGAGGAAGGAGTAAACACGAGGCAGAGTTTCAGCCCCTCCATCTGATGGATGAAGGTGGCTTTGATGGAGGAGATAGCCCTGACGCCAGCCCCTCTGGAGCTGCTACAAGTTGTAGCTGCCTACAATGATAGTTGTTAAAAACCCCTCCTGTACCACTGTGGGACTCAAATATTTTCCTTTCTTCAAAAAGAACGCTAACAAGCCCGCCTCTGTTCCAGCAGAAGTGGGAGAGAGGGGGGAGAAAACAGAACAAAATGTGGATTTTCTTGTCTGTGCATAAAGGGCAGCACGGAAAAAAAGAGGAGGGAAAAGTGGAATATTTATTTAAAAGGCAGAGGAGGAGGAGGTGGTGCGCCGGCCGCCCCTGCTCTCTGCAGAGTGGTAGTGGCTAATAGCTGGAGGCGAAACTAATACTTGGCAGGGGATGAGACACAGCACAGGCCCCCCTGGTTTGGGGGCTTGCTGAAGTGCTTGTTTTATGTCAGGGCTGCGGGATGAGTTCATCTTTGCAGGAATTGGTTGAGTGCACTGGGAGATAAAAGGAGGGAGAGGAGCCTGCGACAGCTTCCTGCGGGCAGGGGCTGCCCAGATGAGCCTTGAGCTGTCCCCTGCCACGGGTTTATTTCCCTGGGGCTTTTTTGTGTTTTGGATTCTAAAGACTTTCCTCTCCCCTGGCCAAAAGAAGTGGGTTGAGAGGAAACTTCTCACTTCTTGAGGTGCAGCCACCTGAAACTCACGTCCTTGTGTGTTTGAAGGAGCACAGGACATCTCCAGGAGTGCTGTGAGCTGGCAGTGCCAGGCTGGAGCTGTGGCATCACAGGGATGAGGAGCAGGGGGATGCATTCATGGATGGATGGAGGGAAGTTCCTGCCATAAGATGCAAGGAAGTGCTTTTAATAAAGCTGTTTCAGATGCATGTGAAAAGCCCTTCTCCTGTTTTCATGGATGATTTTGCTTAGATATTTCCCAGTTCCTGGAAAGCAGAGATGGCACCACGGGTGTTGACACCTCCAGCAAAATATTTTTGTAGGATGGGCACTGTTTTCCTCCTACTTCACTTCCCCCCTTGTATATCAATTCACAATAAACCATGAGAAACTCCTATTTAAATGTTTATTGCTGATAAATGGAGCTGCTGGGGACACCGGAGGTTTGAAGTTGTCCCATCCTTAATCTGTAAGGGAAATGCAGGGGCTGAGCAGTAATTTCTCAAAAATGTAATAACAAAACCAACATAGCTAATGGGTATAGAGGGCTTTGAGGAGGTTGGGAGGTTAAACAGATGCAGAGCTCAGTAATTGCTACCAGCCTCCAGCCCCGGCACATGAAAGGCCCTGAGCTGGTCTGTAGCCCCCAGATCACTTGAGTGGGGCAACAGCAAAGCTCAGAATTTGGGGAGAGCTTTGGGAAGGCAATGGGAGCATCTGTAGGATGTCCCAGGGGAAAAACAACTGTGGAAACTGGATGCCATGGAAGATGGATGAACACCCTGGTTTAGTGGAAGTTGTTCCTCTTGATGGTGGGAGGATGGACTGAGATGGTGTCCTCAGAAATGTGACCTGTGGTGGGTGAAGGGGAGCAGACTGACATGGTCCCCCCAGAAATGTGACCTGTGGTGGGTGAAGGGGCTGCTTCAGGCTGATGAGCATTCCTCCCCCGTGGCCCTCCCCTCAAATTTGTATAGTTACAGCTCCAGTTAAAGTCCAACAAAGCCGCTTAATTCAAAGCTGGTTAATGGGGAGGGGAGCCTGGTCCCCTCCAGGGTAATTTGAGCCTGAAAAGAAGCGGGGCTGGGAGGGCTGTGCCTGAAATCCGGTGTGTCAATGGGGGCTCTGGAGCAAAATAATGGCATCACCCCGTGGGTGAGTTAATGGGACGTGATGGCACGGAGGCACCGGGGTCAGCAGGCCGCGGGCACGTGAGGGATTGTCAGGGAGCTTAATGCCGGCCACGGAGCGCGGCTGGCTCGGAGCAGAGCTCCTTGCTGGAAATTCCACGGCGGTTTTCTGTTAACCGGTGTGGTAGGAGCAGGAATGATGTTCAGCAAGTGGTTAATTCGCCCTCTTTGGGGCTCCTTCTTTTCCTGCCTTCCTTCTGGAGACATCATAAATTGTGGAGGCATCATAGATGAAACAGATTTCTGGCAGCCTGCATCCCTCCTGTCTTCCCTGAATGTAATTCCTAGAAAGAAGAGACATTTCTCATTGTCTGGAGAGAGTTCCAATGGGTTTTTAGAAGGACATGTATAGTTCCTAGCAGCTGCTCCCCCTTGGCATGAAACACTTCCTCAGATTTCATGTTCCCCGTGGGAACATCAGCGTCGCTGACAGAGAATATTGCAGAGGAGACACCCTGTGGGTCACTCATGCAGACACGTCCTGGACATCCCCTGGGGTCACTCAGCACAAGTTGGGCTCGGGAAGTGGGGTTGCAGGAGCAGAGCAGTGCTGGGGAGCAGGCTCAAGATACTGGGACAGCGTCCGTACCGGCTCCGGTGGGAGGAACTCAAATATCCTGAGGACACACGGGCCCAGCCGCAGGGTTGGGCATTAAATTGGAGAGAGGGAGATGTGCTGAGCTCATGGGAGATGGTGAGCGTCCTGTGGGGTCTCCACTGGGCTTGAGCCACCACTCTTGGTGGCATTTGAAAGGATTTGGGTTGAGCACAAGCTTTGGGTTGAAGATGGACTTTGGGTTGAGCATGTATTTTGGGTTGAGCACAAACTTTGGGTTAAACTTCTGAGGTGAACACAAATTTTGGGTTAAATACAAGTTTGGGTTGAGCACTAATATGGGGCTGAAGATGGAGTTTGTGTTGAACACAAATTTTAGGTTGAGTATGAACTTTGGCTTAAATTCCAGTTTTGGCTTGAACACAAGTTTTAGGTTGAGTGTGAACTTTGCATTGAACAAAGGTTTTGGACTGAGCACCATCTTTGGGTGGAACACAGATTTTGAGAAGAGCACGAAATTTGTGTAGAACACAAGTTTTGCATTGAACACCATCTTTGGGTTGAACACAAGTTTTGTGTTGAGCAGCATCTTTGGGTTGAACACAGATTTTGAGAAGAGCACGAAATTTGTGTTGAGCACAAGTTTTGGGTTGAACGCAAGTTTTGTGTTGAGCACCATCTTTGGGTTGAGCACCAGTTTTGGGTTGAGCACAAGTTTTGGGTTGAGCACCAGTTTTGGGTTGAGCACCATCTTTGGGTTGACCGTGAAGTTTGAGTTGAACACAAGGGTTGGGCTGAGCACAAGCTCAAGTTCTCACTGAGCAAAGCTGATGGGTGGGAGCAGCTGTTTCCCAGCCCCCATGCCTGTGGTTTCCCAGGTGATCCCAGCACTCCTGACTCCCTCTCTCTCCCCACAGACGCCAGCACGTCGCCCGATGCCGTGAAGAGGAGCCATTGGTGCAACGTGGCCTACTGGGAGCACCGGACGCGCGTGGGCCGCCTCTACACAGTGTACGAACAGTCTGTCAGTATCTTCTACGACCTACCTCAAGGAAACGGCTTCTGCCTCGGACAGCTAAACCTGGACAACAGGAGCGAGACTGTGAGAAGGACTCGAAGTAAAATCGGCTACGGGATTTTACTGAGCAAGGAACCGGACGGGGTGTGGGCCTACAACCGCAGCGAGCATCCCATCTTCGTCAACTCCCCGACACTGGACATCCCCAACTGTAGGACTCTGATCGTGCGCAAGGTGATGCCGGGCTACTCCATCAAGGTGTTTGACTACGAGAGGTCCTGCCTGCTGCAGCACACGGCCGAGCTGGATTATGCAGACGGGCCCTACGACCCCAACAGCGTCCGGATCAGCTTCGCCAAGGGCTGGGGGCCGTGTTACTCCAGACAGTTCATCACGTCGTGTCCTTGTTGGCTGGAGATCTTACTCAGCAACAACCGATAACGCCTCTGGCGAAAGGAAAACAACAACAAAACACACACACACACAAAAAGTTTAAAAAAATGAAAAAAAGGAAAAAAAAAAAAAAAAAAAAGACACAGACTATCCCAAATATCATCTACCTAGATTTAATATAAAGTTTTATATATTATATGAAAATATATATTATACTTGTAATTATGGAGTCATTTTTACAATGTAATTATTTATGTATGGTGCAATGTGTATATGGACAAAAAACAGAAAATGCACTTTGGCTTATATAATTCTTTCAATACAGATTTTTAAAAAAAAAAAAAAAACAAACAAAAATTATACAGCAAAAATAGGAGAAAGCCCTAATTTTGATGTATGGTTTTTTAAAATATTATTAATACCCAGACAAAAAGCTAATACCAGTCACTCATTGATAATAAAGTATTCGCATTATGGGGGGGGATTTGTCTTTTTTCTTCCCCCCCCCAGCTGAAGTTGGCAGCAGTAATGAATGAGCTGGAAGGCTGCAGCTGGTTCCTAGAGGAGGGTGAGAGGCCAGGGAGCTCTGGGAGCAGATGAGAGCAAGATCTGTAGCTCTTCTCACTCAGGGCTGTCTGAGCTCATGGTGAGGATGAGGGTGCACATCCACATTTGTGCTGATTAATCTTCATCAGTGGGTCTTGGAGAAAAGCAGATTATTCCATGGCCACAAAGCTGCCCAGCAGGAGCAGTTTGGATTTTTGGCTTTACCCAGGGGCTGTCAGTGAGCCCTGCACGTCCTGGACGTGTTTGATGGTTGAGAAACAAACGGAGACAGCTCATGGTTGGGTGGATCCTCCATTGGAGCATGGCCTGGATTTCGGGAATGTCTCCAGTGCCTCGGAGGAGTCGTGAGCACCTTTGTCCTGTAGATCTCCCACTCTGTCATCCAGGCAATAAATGATCCAGGAGTTTTTGGGAAGAATATATTTACTCTGAGGAGCAGCTGCAGCCAAAAAAATGTCCTGGTCAGATGTGCCTGTCTCAGCTGATTTACTCTCCCTGGAAATCCTGGATAAAATCAGGATGATTTTGCTCTGACTTGTGCCGGGCCTGGCAGGGGCAGGTTGGACACGGGCTTTGCGTGGTCAGGGAAGTTATTTATTGCCAGGGAGTAGCTCTGCCAAGTCCTCTAGAGTTCTGTTGCAAGTCCCTGTGCCTTTGATTCCCATAAAATCCCAGCCTCTGGAGCCCAGGGACTGGGAAGCTTTTGAGGTTGCAGAGGATGTTTTTGTCACCATCATTTTTGCAGAGAAAAAGATGCAATGAGACCTCAAAGAATTAAATAGGGCCTAACTTTGCTCCTCAGAAGCCTTCCTGCATGTCCTCCTGCATTTTGGCACCTGGACCTGATGTTCCTGCCACAGCCATGAGTGAGGGTGGGGAATCACAGAATTGTGGAATCCTGGAATGGTTTGGGTTGGAGGAGAGCTGAGATCTCATCTTGTTTCACACCTTCCACCATCCCATTGTGCTCCAAGCCCCGTGTCCAACCCGGCCTCAGACACTTCCAGGGATGGAGGATGGTGAGGGCTGCATCCCACAGGGAAGCACAGAAACCTGGGTGGGATCCAAGCAGGGAATGTCGCAATGACATTCCAGCAGTCATTTTTCAAATTATAACCATATTTGATGTTTAATTGGGACCACATTGGTTGAATTCCTGCAGCATCAGTATTAATACTTGACATCATCAATTTTTGTTTGTGTTACAGCCACTCTTAGGGAACGGTGTCGAAACATGTCAGTCTCATTTAAAGCAGCTTTCAAAGAGCTTTGCAGGGGTTTTTTTATCCCTTTGGCTTAGGTTTGGTGGGTCCTGCCAAACCACCCACCTCCCTCTCTGTATCGCTTTCACACCGTCCATCAAGAGGCCATTTTTATGTTCCGGGGGCTTTTTAAAGAGATTTCTCCTAATACTGTCCTCAGTTTACCTGGGAAACACCAGCAAAAGTTGTTTTCCCTGTTTCCTTTCCTTTTTTCCAGCATTTCCCATCACCACATTCACACCTTTGCTCTCTGTTCTTGTGCAGCAGTGCCACCTTTTTCCACTTTCTACCCACTTCATCCAGGTTTTGGACAAAAAAGCACCAAGGACAGATTTGAGGGTTAACTCTGGGCTTTCCCTTGTGCAATCCACTGATGGTGCTTAATTCTCTTTTTTTCATTACTCATGCACTTCCCCAGGAATAAATCTGGAGTTTTATTTCAGTTGACAGCGGGGCTTTAAAGGGAATAAAAAAGGATTTTATGGTGAGGCAATGAAATAAGACATCAAGTATCCTTTTCTGTCTCATTTTGCCCCTTTAATACCTTCTAATCATTGAAACTTAGAACTCTTTCAAGGAGCTTTAGGACTTCAAAGCTATTGAGCTCCACACTGGACCCTCTCAGAGCTCAGCTGGAGCCTGCCTTGTGCATCCCCTGCATCCCTGTGGGAGCTGGGAATTGTCACCTTGGGGTGGTGGCCGTGGGTGGAGGGCACTTCCAGGGGGAAAGAGGAGTTAATTCCCTGCCAGGTTTGCAGGAGCAGCTGGGCATGGTTGGGTTTGATGAAGGAGCTGATGGGATTCAGCTGTACAGCACCAACAGCTGCTGCTCTTTGCCCCAGCCCCTATAAAAGCAGGATGGGCACACCCTCACTCTTTTCTGAGTGGTCTCCTGAGCTTCTCCCAGTGGGGTTTGTCCTCCTTCCTGCAGGAATTGGGGTCTCCCAGCTCCAGAGGTAAGTGGCACATTCCTTGTTCTTGTAAGGTCTGCGTGGTGTTCCAGCAGTTTAAGGGTGGGAATTGAAGATCCCTGTTCCTGTAAGGTCTGTGTGGTGTTCCAGCAGTTTAAGGGTGGGCATTACAGAACCTCCTGGGCAGGAGGGGGCTGTGCTTGGACTGAGCTCCTGGTGCTGCTGTGGGGTTTGTGTGGCTCCCTTGGAGCTGGAGCTGGCTCAGCTTTGTCCTGAGGAGGCTGCTGGGTCACCCCTGTGGTTACAAATCACCAGGGGGTTTTGGGGGGGGTGTTTTGGGCAGTGCAGTGGGGAAATGAGGTGTTTTTTCTCTGTATCAGTGCTGGAGCAGCAGCTGTGCTGCACACAGGGGTCACACTGAGCTCGGGGAGCTGCTTCTGCTGTTCCTTAGTGCCAGGGCAGCGAATCCCTGAGCAAATCCAGCTCTGTCCTTGTGCTGAAGGGCCCCAGCCAGGCACTGACTCCAGAGCTGCTCTGGATTATCGGGGACCGTGTGAGAGGCGGTGGATTGGCTGCAGGATTGGCTGCAGGATTGGCTGCAGGACAGGGCTGCAGGACAGGGCTGCTGGGTGGGTTTGGTGCCTCAGCTGGGCTCCAGCCGGTCCTGTCACCCCTCCAAGGCAGGGACTCCTCAGGTGGAGCTGCCCCAGGCCCTCGGGCTGCCTCCCACATCAGAGCCTGGGATGGGTGCTGTGACTCCCCTGGCTCCTCGTCTATCATCTGTGGGACAGAGGGAGCTGTTCAGAGCTGCTGTTGAGGCACTGAAACCCGCTGGACAATTCTGTGAGTGCCAGGGCTTTGGTGGAGGCCCCAGCTGGATTCTCCTGGTGTTGTGGGTGTACCCCGAGTCCACTCCAGGGCAAGTCCTCAATTAGTAATCCTGGTGTTGGACCCGAGCCCTTTGGTGTGTGGAGTGTGTTTATTTGACAAGATCCTCTTCATTTAGCAGTAATGGATTTTAAAACTGCTGGGCTGGGGGGTCCCAGAGGCTGCTGCTCCTCCTGTGAGCAGACATTCATCATCCCAGTCCTCCACTTCCATTGCTGCTGACTGAGAAATGCTTTTCACCAGCCAGAAGGGAAAAGAAATTATTGCTAAATTCATCCACTCTCAGCTCTTCTTAGAAAGAGATGCTGAGAGCCCTTTGTGGCACAGGTTTGGCCACAGTTTGATGGGGGCTGCTGGTCCTTGGGCCATAATCCTCCTTCTCAAGGCTTTATCTCCACAGTAAAAGCAGAGGGGTTTGTTCAATGTGTAATTCAGAGCTGGAATTCACGTTCAGGGCTCAGACAGAGATCCCTGTTGGAGCAGAGGAAGGAGCTGGAGGTTTGGTTTGGTTTGGGGGGTGATGGTGCTCGGCTCCTCGGGCTGTGTGTGTGTGGAAGGTCTCCAGCTCTTTGGGATGTGGGTTAATGCTTTCAGCAGAGCTGCTCACACATCAACCTGTGCTTCCCAAACCTCTGGGTGCTCCAGGCTCGGGCTCTGCCTCCTCCAGGGTGGGGCTGAGGTGGAGGAAGAGCTTTAACAGCTGCCCAGGTGCTGCTGGGCTGGAGCTGTGAGGGCTGTGGGGTTTTCCCTGACAAACACCAGGACAAAATGTCTCATGCAGGTAAATGGAGCTGGCTGTGGGGACAGGGCAGTGGGTCCTGCTGCAGGGCATGGCCTGGGGCTTGGGAGAGAGGCTGGTGGCCGATCTGCTGCTCCCTGGCTGGTTTAGGCTCAGCTTTGTGAGGAGATGGGAGAGGAGAGAGCCTGGTGCCTTCCCCTCCGTGTGTCCCTGCTGGGACAGCACAGACCTGCTCTCACCAGCGGCCAGCAAGGACCACCACCTTCCTAGAGAGCAAAAACAAGGATTCACCTCATCTCCCCTCACCTGGGCTGGGGGCACTGCAGCGGGGTCCATGGCTGATACCCCAGAACTGCATCCAGGAGCTGGCTGAGTGCAGAGCATCCCGAGATATTTCCTGTAAATAACTCCTTTTGCTTCCCTGAAAAGGTCTCATTTTCTGTCTGGAGTGTGATGAAGCATTACTTGCTGCTTTGTGGATAATCCTTCCTATATTCCTGATTTATGGATGTGCTGGTGCGATGCACAAAGTGGCATCTGTGCTCTGCACACTGTGGGAACAACCCAAAATTGCTCTGAAACTCAACTGGCTCACAATTATATTGGATTCTATTAAATTAAAACACATAGCACATATATTACACAATAAACCACAGCTATTTCATGGATCAAATTAAGTTTTATTTGGGCAAATTACAACCTTTCTTACAGTT